AACGATTCTTAAATTGCTAATAAACTGAAGTTGAGCACATAGGAAAAGCTTTGCAAGGACTAGGTGGTAGCCCTTCCCAGCCTAGTGGCTATTACAACTTGGTTCACTAGTTGGGTACATGGGTTTTGGGTGGATGGTGTCTCCTCAGAGCCACACATTGTTTATGCTGTTCTGGTTTGCAGTTTTTTGTTAAGAGGTGTGAAAGTTGTCTCTAGGGACACTTAACTCTCTCTACCAGCTTAGTGGAAGAATGTTCTAAAATTTGTGTTACTATAGGAACAGTCCTGAACTTTGACCAACACTACGGCAATTCAAATTTACTAAATTTTGTGGACTGATGTTTTTTACATTTAATGGCTTGACTTTTTTTTTTTTTTCTAAATTCTGGAAGTGTAGGACTTACCAAAGCTGCCCAAATCTTAGTTCTGGGTCAGTAACTTGCACACAGTGTCTTAAGGTCTCCATGATCTCACATTTTTTTGGCTGTAGGAAGAAATGGCCAAGGGGAGACTATTAGAGAATTTTCTAGATCCTGAGATCTAAGTTCTCATTTGATGTGAGACCTAGTAAGTGACCAACATCTAATGTAGAGCTTTATTTTAAACCAGGATTTTTCAGCCTGAGCACTATTGACATTTTGGGCTTGATAATCTTTTGTTGTGGGGAATTGTCCTGTGCCTTGTAGCTTTAGCAGTATACCTGGTCTCTACTGGATGACAGTAGCTCCCTTCCCTCCAGTAGTGACAGTCAAAAATATATGCAGATATTAAGTGTTCCTTGGTTGGGAATCACTTTCTAAAATGGTGTGACATGAGTAGGCCCAGGTTGTGTTACAGAGGCTAATCTTTAGTGTGCCAGTTTTTAATTTTTTTTCAGACATGTAATTGTTAAGTTGTAAGAAAATAACATGCTGTATAAAACATAAGTGTCGTTGACTGTCTTTGGGGGACCCAATATTGAGGAACCTTATCAAAAGATGTTAAAAGGTTTTATTCAGTGGGTTCTGGGGCAGTTTAGGATTACAAAGAGGCAGCTCTGCGTTTACTATGTTGAAATTTATTGTCCATTTTGTTTTTAGAGCCCACTTTGGATAGTGGAAACCTGAGGCTCTGATGCTAACAGCACTCAAAACATTGTGGACTAGAATTGCAGTTCGCTAACAAGTGTGCTGCAGGGTAGAACTTAATTTAAAATCGTACTTTTTAAAACATTTTGCTCTATTGTCAGGGCCTGGTTGCTTGAAGTTTTTCAAGTATAAATGGAAAGTTTCTCTGCATGATCTAGCTTTCTAAAAAGCTTCACCTTCAGCATGTTTATTTTGTGATTGGCCACCGAGTTACTCTTAAGAGATAGCCCTTCTAAAAGAGGAGCGTGAAATTCATCAACTGTTTCATAACCCAAAGGCAAACCTTAATATAGAGGGAGGAGTGTGTAAGTTGCAGGAAGAGGCTCAGGAAGCACTGAACTTTAGTTCAGATATTGCGTCCTTGGCTTGACTCCTCTTTTACGAATTTGGTGTAACTTTCAGGCACTGCTGTGTGGTCTGGAGAGAAGTGTAATTTTCTCGGAATAGCTGCTTATATTAACCTGTGGTATGCATTTTCTGCTCTAAGAGTTTATAGTTTACTTGCTTTTGAGGGGCAGGCCTCTAACCTTCATTGTAGTCACTGTTGATGGTGAGTACAAATGCAGAAGCCAACTTCTTGGTCTTTCACTTTATTTTTCTTGAAGAGCAGTACAAAGCTGTAGGTGAGTGATAAAATGAGGTATTGGAATATTTACATCTTGATAGGGGAAATGCGTGGGACTTCTGGCTCAAAGCAGAACTCTCACCAGTAAGCAGGCAGCCTTCTCTTCTCCATGCTGCCATTTGTGTCTCAAACTTAATATAAGCTTAAGCTCAGATAGCTATGTTGCTGAATGATCTTTGTTGGTGGTGAAGGTAAATTTGTGTATTTAACCTATTTCCATCTTGGTTTGATCATAAAGGTCAGGCAGTGAATGTTCTTAAATACCCTCATCAACACGTGTAATGTGTAACATGTCAGGTGTGTAGCAGAGGGCTGTGGATTTGACATACCAAGGAACTTTGGGGGAGGGAGCCTTGGTAGGATTGGGTAGTAGGTGAAGGGCTTTAGATTTGAATAGAAGAAATTAGTTTTTTATTTGTTCAGCTGCTTCCTCTGTAGCAGTGCTGTGTTGATTCACAGTAGAATTTCTGTGCCAGAAGATCCTTAGAGATCATATAGTTTAACTCTTTAATTTTGTGAACTCATTTGAAAATAATCCAGGTATCTAGTAATTAGATGAACTTCCTGAAATTAATGTTATTTAAGCCAGTCATTCAACTTAATCTTTCTGGTTCCATGTTGGGATTTGACTAATTCATGGGCTTTGCAGCCATGTGAAATGATGATTGAGTTTATCCATTCGCTGAGTACGCTGCACTTACCTTCTTACAAGCCTCGGTTCCTGTTCTAGGAATTTGGGGCTAAGTAGCCTCCAGATGCACTGCGGTCTGTGGTGTTCTACCATGGACAGCTTGTGTGCTGGTGGACTACCTGTAAGAATGGTTGGTATCAGCAGGGATGGGTCCCTCTAGGTCCCATCTCACCAAGATGAGTGGTGGAAATCTGATCACTTGCTGTGGCCCTTTATCTAGTTTTTTAAGCTTATGGCTAACTTCCTTAACTTTTATCTATGTTAGATCTTCTAGGGGGCTTTGGCTCTGTTGTCCTTGAAGACTGCTTGGTACTGGCAGACCTGAATTATAGGGAAGGGAAGAACCAGTTGTGGGGTGGGGCGGGGGCAGGAGATGAGAAGTGCATAGGTTTACAAGCAGAGCTCATTGCTCTAGTCAGTTAGGTAGTTTTCATGCACCAGTGCATAAGGGAAAGCTGGGATAGAGTGAATAAACAGGTTTCGGTTACCTTCAAGGTGGAAGAAAACGAACATAATTTGAGTACCAGTACTTGAACCATAAAGATGGATTTGGAGAAGGAGATGGCATTAGAATTTCATATAGAGTACTTCTTTCTTGTGGGTCGAAACAGTAACAAAGTAATATATATATTTCATAAGCGTGTGTCCCGTGAGTCTTGTTTTTAGAAATTAATGCAAATCTAGTGTGTCTGCAAGCAGAAGAACATTTTTGGATTTATTTCCTCAATAATGAGTATTGGACTAGGCAAGGCATGTATACCTTTCTAGCTGAAATATGGTGTTTTCTGCTTCCTGTGATCAAAGAGAAAATGTGATCCAGGAGGCAGTCTTTTTGCGTGTGTCTTGGCTTCATGCTGCTGACAGACCGTTCTTGGATGTCTTTCCATATTGGCTCTGTCCCTGGTAGGGGTCCCAATTCTGTATGCCGTGGGATGGATAAGAGCAAAATCCTTAGGAGAGAGAAACCATGAAGGGAAGATGCTGATGTGACATGTGCATTGCTTCTGCTTTGGGAATGGAAACAAGAAAAACACTTAAATATATATAAGTGGGCTGCTTTTCTATCTGTTGTAGTTTCCTTGCAACATTCAAATTAAAATGGGGATATATAGAGGCTGGCATATTCAGCAGCTTCTTACATTGTATACAAAACTGGTTAAATTTTAAATGGCTATTCAGCTAGCTCACATTCTAGCAGATCACAGGTACTGTGGCGATGGTTTGTTTCCATTGTGTCTTGTTATTTTGGCTGTATGGCTCTAGTGTAAACCGGAGTCTGTAATCGCCACAACACCACTTATATTTTCTATATGTATATTCTCTGTTCTCCCTTGTGGGTTCTGAATTTCAGAATCTAGCCTTCCATGTTGTCCAGTCACATAGGTGCCCGTTGCCGTCTGTGAGCCATTAAACCTTTTGAAGAGGGATCTTTGTCGTGAGATTTGGACCAAAAGTCGTCCTTAGCTTAGAAGTCTGCAGTTGTCCTGCAGCCAGTGTCATGTCCCCCAGCTGGGAGACTGATGGATGGGTAAAGAAATGCACAGGGATTCTATATCAGTTTTTCTCTTTTTCAGGCTCTCTTACCAAGCAATTAGAGTTCTTAAAACAGTTAAAAGTTTGCTTTCTAAATGAAACAGTGCTTGTTTATCCCCTTTCTTTCTTGTCACAAGATCATTGTCATGTTTACTGTAAGAATTAATCTGGTAGGAAAGCACATTGGGGACTGAAACTCCACCTAAAACTTGGGGTATATGATGCAATGGTTTCTATACAAATCTACAAGAGAAAGTCAGTTTTAAAACTTACATTCCATTGTTTGAGAATAGGTGTTTTAAATTTGATTCTCACAAATGACCTAAGGGAACTGGGAAATTGAAAAATTAACCCGACTTGGTTCTGAAGCCTGCCTTTCCCCACTGATTTAAACAGCCATTCTTGGCATTTTGACATCGGTAGCTCAAGTCAGAGACTTAGTGTTGGCCAGCAGTGCTAAGCAGTACTCTGGGTGCTTATTTAGGGTAGGGGATAGCGGTGGGTGAATGGGGGAAAGTATATGGAAGGGTACAACCTAGTTCTTATACCCTACATCCTGCTGATTTATTTAGCAAGTACTGTGCCGTGAGATTGTGGGGTGTTGGTTTTGTTGACTAAGCAGGAGTAACAATGCTGAGTTTTAAGCACATTTGATGCTTCCGGAGTAAGGGTTCTGTGCTGACTTAGAAGTTTTAAACATTTCACAACTTGTTGCTTTTTGTTGATTTATTATCTGCCTTATTTTCTGGAGGGTTATATGCTACACTATAGGTTATAGATTCCTCATCCTACTTATACCAAAAAAACATACCAAAAACCGTATTTCTATGGTGACAAGAGAGGAAGATAATAGTATAGTAAATAGTCTAGACTATTACCTCTGTATGGTTAGGGGTATGGGGAAAGAGGTGAAACCAGAAAATAATTGTTCAGTGAGACAAAAAGCAGCTGGTAAAGTTCATTTTAACTTTGATGGTGGTGCTTAAATAAACCCTATTTACTAGGTTGCATTCTCCTTGGTCCTTCAATCCCTAATTCCAAAGCTAGTCCTTGTGGCTCATTAAGTTTGTTTGGCTTGTAGTGAGCTAAAATGGAATTGTCAGCATGTTCAGAAATTGAGAGATGGCTAGAAACCAGGATTTGTGACTTCTTTAGGAAATGGAATCTCAGGAAGCATGGCACTAGTTGCTGAGCTCAGGGGAATGCACCTTAAACCTACCCCATCTTTCTACCAGTGTCAGTTGCCCCTTTTACACCTTCCCACTTTGTTGCTGTTCTGATTCTGACAGATACAAACATAAGATAGGTGGGGAGTTGAGTATTCTCTGCAGTCAAATTTTAGTGTATATTTTGAGGTCTTTTTGAACTTTGTATTTGCCCAGTGGTAACCTTCTGAAAGGAAGGAAGCTTTTTATCAGAAATGTGTCAGCTAGAGTCACAGGACAAGTTGAAGTATCCCTGACCTTTGGGTCTTTGTTTGTAGAGATCTCAAAAATGGACATAAGAAATACTTGCTTATTTTGACTTAATTTTCCTAGGAGTCAGGAATTCATCTAGGAGAAGAATTTAAATTGAGGTGTCAGGGACTTAAGTATATTGTAATCTTACTAATGCCTGATGTTAAAATCAAGCTCTGGTAACAGAACTTGAAGGTTGTTTTCTTTTGGAAAGCCATTGGTACGTTACTAACTCTGGTTTTTGCAATTTAAATTTTTTCTTAGTGCTAAGAGGAGAACGGAGGTACTGACAGTTTCTAAGATACGGAGGAGAGGGGTAATTCATGCATTTTTAGTGGATATAATTAGTCTTTTTATACTTGATTGAACCAGTTTTTCTAATTTCAAAAGTTAAGTTTGTCAGTTCTTGGTCTTGAACTTTTTATTTTGAAGAAAAGACCCCACAATGACATTTAGGGGGGAAATGCCTCAATATTCCCTGTTCTCTCATTTACTTGACTCCAGTCTTCACTTGGCATTCTCCCTGTGTGCAGTAATCTTAGAGTGTTACAGCAACTTTACTTTAGCTCTAGCTTACAGTTGAGGTGGGGTGGGAATACATGAGATGCTTATTTTATGCCGGTTTTCATGCCTTGTTTGTTGTCAGTCCTTGAGATTGACCATCAATCAGCTTGTCTGCTTTAAGAATTATGGAATATATCATACTTTAAATTCAGGACAGAAAACCATTTTAACCACTTTTTCCTAACATTTTTCCAAAAAAATTTTTTTAAAACAACGTGGAGTTGGGTGTTCTTTTCCTCTGAATTTCTAACTCACGAAATCTGTTGCTTTTGCTTCCAGGGCAGTGCTCACACTTTTCCCTTACATGTAACCACAGTGGGATTCTGCTAATTAGGGCCTTTTGTTAGTTTTACAGTTTATTGTATCTAGATTTCTATTCTCTTTGCAACAGCCCCTGAATATAAATAGGTCTACTCTTGAGCCGGGTTTTTCTCTATCTTTTGACCTAGGATCCCATGCCACATGACTGTTATGTTTTCCTAGTTTCTTCATTCAGATATATGAACGGTCTAGTTAATGCCACTTGTGTGTTCCTTGTAGTTTGGGCTTTTATGTAAGAAGTTCAAGATTTCATCCTGTCTAGTTCAAGCCTTCTTAATAACAGTTCTTCCAGGTATTTGGTAAAAGGTATTTTTCATGCAGATGTAAGAATGCACATGATGTTAAAATCATAGTTGCTTTGTTCAGATCACAGGAATGCTTTGTACCTATCCATATGTTTAAGAGGAGATTTCCCTACGGTTTCAAATAAACTTAGATTTATCTCAACTGACTTTGTTCTAAATGATCTTCTATAGACTGCTTTTTAATTGCTAGCTCCCATTTTTTGAAGGATACTATTTAGGACTAAAATGAATTTGAGACTAATAACCAAAACATGTATTTCAGCTGAGATCTGTATCTGTGGACCTGAATGTTGATCCCTCGCTTCAAATTGACATACCTGATGCACTCAGTGAAAGAGATAAGGTCAAGTTTACAGTACACACCAAGGTAAGTGACAGAATGACTTCAATAATAAAAACAATGTTAGGCTGCAGCATTGTTACTAAGGGTGGCTGTGAGAGGACACCTCCCTAACTGAAGTGGTTGTCATTTGTTTGCAGTGTAGCACTACTTCTACATGAGTACCTGCTTCATCTTGTAGTAAGCCTCTAAATAAGTGCTCTTGCCTCAGTGTTCTCCACTATGGTGGAACCCTAGGATATTGCCGATGTTAAATGTGGATTGTATTCTGCTCTATGGGGAGAGCAAATTAGGCAGTGATGTAGGCAGAGTCATTTACTTATCTACACAGCTGAAATCATCTTCTGACTTTTTAATTTGTATGCATGGGAAATGCTTGCTTTTCGCATGTTTACTAAGTTCTTGGCCTTTGCCCCACTTATTTCTTGTGATTTAAAAGACTTGTCCAAATTTTAATTTTTATAATTTTTAACCTTTTTTTTAATCCTCACTCAAGGGTATTTTTTCCGTTGCCTTTCAGAGAGTGGAAGGAGGGAGAGAGAGAAACAGAGAAACGTCTATGTGAGAGAGACATATCTGTTGATTGTCTTCCACACGTGCCCCAACTGGGGCCAGGGATAGAGCCTGTAACAGGTACATGCCCTTGGCCGAAATCGAACCCTGGACTCTTCAGTCCACGGGCTGATGTTCTAACTACTGAGCCAAACTGGCTAGGGCTATAGTTTTTAACTTTTTAAAGTGATTAGAGAGAGAGAAAGAGAAACATTAATTTGTTCCACTTATTTATGCATTCATTATTTGCTGCTTTTATGTGCCCTGACCAGGGATCAAACTCACAACTTGGCAAATCAGGACAATGCTCTAATAAACTGAGCTATAGGGCCAGGACATGTCTCCATTTTTAAAAAAAATTTTTTTTTTTTAAATTCTCACCTGAGGATATATTTTTTTTATTGATTTTAGAGAGGGGAAGGGAGTGGGGAAACATCTGTGTGAGAGAAATATCCATCAGTGGGCTCTAACTGAGTCATCTGGGCAGGGGTGTCTCCAAATTTTTAATTTGACAAAAGCAGTATGCCAGTCTGGAAAATGTAAAAAGCTAGCTTAAGTTCTCAGGATGAGTTCTTTTGAGAATACTTTCAGCTTCCTTTTCTCCTTCCATAGTAGTTAAATTGTATTGAATGCTTGTCTTACCCCATGAGCAGTCAAAGGGTTTAATGGGTTTAATTGTCTTTTTAGAACAACCTTATGGTGCTGTTTTATTATCCCCACTTTATAGGGGAGGAAACAGGCACCGATTTAAGTAAAGCAAATAAATATAAGGTCCTTTCCTACGTTTTTTTTCTCTTAATACCTTGGTGGCTTGATTAGCAAACCTCAATTACTCAAAAGTCAGTGCGAAGACTATATATCTACCTGAGTTGACCTAAGAGGTGGAAATTTGTGAAAAGAATTCCTTAAACACATGTTGAATCTTGACTTTGATTTTTCATAGTGGCAGGGAGATTGTGTGTTGCTGCTTTTTGTTCTTTAGTGGATCTCATTGTGATGTTTTGTTTTATTTATATGCAGAATTTCCCATAGTGCAGCTCAGGAAACTGAAACCACTTTATGTAAAATGGTGGTTACCAGTTAACTTCTCTTTTATTTACAGACCACGCTGCCCACATTTCAGAGCCCAGAGTTTTCTGTTACAAGGCAACATGAAGACTTTGTCTGGCTACATGACACTCTTTCTGAAACTGCAGACTATGCTGGGCTTATTGTAAGTTCATTTTGGAAAATGAAACAATTACCGAAGCAGATACCTTCTAACATGCTGTTCATTTTGTTTAAAGAGACTATTACCCTTTTTTTTTTTTTTCATAATGGATTGTGGAAAGTCTGATTTCATCTTCCAACTAGGGTATGTGCTAGTCGTTACTGTTAAAGTCTAAAATATATGAGAATAGTGTTTTATATCTGTGAATGAATTGAAACATACAGTCTCATTCTCAAAAGTGTTTTAGTCTGCTCAAGGAGTAAAGGAGGCAGTTTTTCTTGTGTTTAGCTCTTGAGAGTTAATGAATGCATGGCTGCAGGAAGAGATTTACTGATTTTAAAGGAGAGTTAAGTGTGGTTTGTCCTGTCATACTGAAGAATCTGGCAAAATAACAAAATCAGTACTGAAACTTATATTTAAGAAATGTCTCTTCACTCAATATTAGAATCCTTTGGTTATCTGGAATTAAAAATTCCTTTTGAATTCTAGAGACTGTTATCTTGATTTTTCCTCAGCTCTATTTTAGTACTGATTGTAATATATAAATTTTAAACTGACTTTGAAGCAGCATAAACACTATTGTATCCTACCAATTGTCCATAATAGATAAACTGAACAAGTGAGTGCCCAATTGTAGGGAGGACAGTTTTATTTTTTAAATATATCTTTATTGATTCCCGAGAGAGGAAGGGAGAGGGGGAGAGAGAAACAGCAATAAAGAAAGTCGTCAATGATCAGCTGCCTCCTGCACGCCCCCCGACTGGGAATTGAGCCCGCAACCCGGGCACGTGCCCTGACCAGGAATGTAACTGGGATCTCTTGGATCCTAGATTGATGCTCAACTGCTGAGCCATGCCCGGCCAGGTGGGAAGGACAGTTTTAAATAGCCAAAAGGAATAATGTTAAGAGAAAAACAGGTTGACCACAGACAGGGCTGGTGGCCTGTGCACAAGCCCCAACCAGAATATCATTGCTGGGACAAGAATGCCCATGAGTTAATTTTCCTCTGCTGCAGATTCCGCCTGCTCCTACAAAGCCTGACTTTGATGGCCCTCGAGAGAAGATGCAGAAACTGGGTGAGGGTGAAGGGTCTATGACCAAAGAAGAATTTGCCAAGATGAAGCAAGAGCTGGAAGCGTAAGTGGATCTTCTTGATGGGACAAGTATAGTAGTAGTTAATTAGTTACTAGTGCTGTCTTCTAAAACTACATTTTGCAGAGTGTGGGGCATAATCTTGAGCTTTAGACCTTGACTTCTTGGGGCCACTAGCACTGGATAGACGAGTAGTTTTCCCCTATCGTAGACCATACTGGTTATAGAATGCTGGTCTGGCATGGTGAAGTAAACCATTGTTTTTTCATATATAAATGATTCTTCAAGCTGCTGATAGTGTAGGATGCTTTCTTCCCTGAAGCTTGATTACTGGAAACATAGTTGAAACTAGATTGCAGCGAATACCATTACAAAGAAGCATTCTCAGTGACAACTACATTGCAGGTTTGGAAGAAGTCCAGGTCCACAGGAAGTTTATTTTACTTTGATTATAATTTAATTAAAACAAAAATAGGGTTTTTTTATTCTGTATCAGAGTTGGAGGTTTTCATTAAAGTTTCTTTTGAAACCATCCTTAAACTTTATCTTGGCTTCCTCCCCGTTCTACCATCAGTGTATTGGAATTCAGAGCCTCATTTCAGCAGTTCTCTTTAATGCTCTGCCCCAAGTCCATATTGTCTAGGGCCAGTGCTCTTACGCCTCTAGGTCCTGAATTATTCGTGCATTTGAGATACTGTCATTACCATTGCTGAGGATAAAGCACTGAGCACAAAGCCCACGTTCCCGCCATCAGGAAGTTTAGAGTGATCTTTAAAGTCTAGATTGAGATAAAGCCTCTTGATAATTTTGTGTGTGTATGCGATTTTGAGAGTGCATTTATTAAAGCTGGGGGCAGTACCCTGGCCAGTGTGGCTGAGTTGGTAGGAACAATAAGGTCACGGGTTCAATTCCGGATCAGGGTTGATCTCTGGCCCTGCTTGGGGTACTTGTGGAAAGCAACCAATCAGTGTTTCTCCTCCCCATTAAAAATAAATGAAAATCTCCTTGAGTGAGGATTTTCAAAAAAGGCTGGGGACAGTGAAACAAGGAAGGGGTTAGGATAGAAGAAGCAACAGGAGAGAGCCAGAGCCTAGGTGGGACTGCTCTGGCTCCCTAGAAACATTATGGGAAAGAAATGAGCCAAGGTGGGGGGTTGCTGTTGATTCACTGAAAAGTCAGAGAAAAGGACGCCTTGGAGGTAGGTCAGGGGGTCAGCCTTGGATGAACTGCCACTGCCTGTTGCTCTCTTGGTTGCAAGTCTCATGGGGACCTTTAGAGTTTAGGAGATGCATGCCTGAGTGGGAAGAAAGGGGTGAGTGTGTTCCTGGAAGGTAGAGCTCTGGGTCCTTTGTCTTGAGGGCTTTTAAAGGCGGGGAGTTTAGGGGAGGATCTTAATAGTGTATTCATCAGCTTTATGCTGATGTGCCAAAATGAGGTTTATTCCCCTAACTTCATCTGTCCTTGGATGTATAATTTCTGATGATTCTGAGCCTTGCTAGACTCAGTGCTGTCTATATAGCTGAAGAATTAAAGGGTTTTCATTGTTTTTAAAAAAAATCCACAGTGTTCTGTTGGCTGCTAAATACCAGCAATATTTGCATGTAGGTTTCAGGCTTTGCAGACTTGCTCCATGAACCCCAGTTACAGTTTCACTTTCCCTCTTTGTTTGTTCATGCCACAGATTCCAAAATGGCAGCTAACTTATTACTTAATCAGATATAAAGTTACACTAAAATGTTTAGGTCCTGTTCAGATATTTTGCTTAGTGGCACGAGCAGAACAGAAAACTGTGTGTGGTAGTGGTTACTAGTTGAACAGTGCCAACTAAATGTCTTATATACTTCTCTTTTAGTGAATATCTCGCTGTCTTTAAGAAGACTGTGTCCTCCCATGAAGTCTTTCTTCAGCGACTCTCTTCTCACCCTGTTCTCAATAAAGATCGCAACTTTCATGTTTTCCTGGAATATGATCAGGATGTAAGGCACTTTTTAAAATTCCATTTCCAGGATCAGTGAAATGTAACAAGATTATACTTTAAAAATATACTTGATATATTTTCTGCAAAATTGACTTTTAAAGTTCTGAATTTCTTACCAACACAGTGGAAACCTTTTGTAGGTGCTGCTTCCCCTCCCTGGCAGATCAGTTAGACATTTTTATAAAGGGCTGCTTAAGATTTTGACTTTTTCCCCCTTCTAAAGACCAGTTTTCTTTCTCAGTTAAGTGTGGGATTGTTAGAAGAAACTTAAATTGATCCACATTTGTTTTCTTCTTGGCTACCTTTTTATTGACAAAAGACTTGCATGCTTTTTTTTTTTTTTTTATGTTAATATGTATGAGGCAAGCCCCAACTTAGAAATTTCCTCAGTGTCTTCTAACCAGTGAAGTTTAATAAACAACATAGAACAGAACAAATTTTACTGAGGATTTAAAAGCCAGTAAGACTTGGTACCTGGCCAGTGTGGCTCAGTTGGTTGGAGCATTGTCCTGTACACTGAAGGGTCGCGGTTCAATTCCTGGTCCGGACAAATACCCGGTTATGGGTTCGATCTTGGGTCAGGGCGTGTATGGGAGGCTACTGATTGATGTTTCGCTATCACATTAGTGTTTCCCTTTCCCTTTTTCTCTAAAATCAATAAAAAAGGAAAGAAGAAAAATCTTGGTGCCCAGATAGTTTTCAAAATATCTTTTAGGCCATACTTTTAGAATTGTGACCTGTATTTCAGTTTAGCTGTTTATTCAGTATTTTATTTTAATTTTTTTTAAGTGTCTTTATTGATTTCAGAGAGAGGAGGGGGGAGAGAGAGAAAGATAGAAACATCAATGATAAGAGAGTCATTGATCACCTGCTTCCTGCAAGCCCCCCACTGGATGGAGATCAGACCCACAACCCGGGCATATGCCCTGACCGGGAATCGACCATGATCTCTGGATCATAGGTCAGTGCTCAACTGCTGAGCCATGTTGGCTGGGCTGTTTATTCAATATTTTAGATATGGTGGTTAAGATGGAATTTGTCTTACCTCTTTATCTTAATGTGTGTGCCTTAGAAGTCTTACTTGGAATGTATTCAGGACTTAGCTAGAAAAATATATTTACCATAAACTATTCTTTTGGAATTCTCTTACTTCAGCTAAGTGTTAGGCGGAAAAATACCAAAGAGATGTTTGGTGGCTTTTTCAAAAGTGTGGTGAAAAGTGCTGATGAAGTCCTTTTTTCTGGAGTCAAGGTAAGTGGCTTTTAGCTGTTTAAAAAAGTGCTTGACTTCATGTGGATAGGTGACCTTTTAATTTTTCTGAAAAGGTATTTGTGAAACAAATGAGTTCTCAGAAATGTAATTTTTTCAAATTTTGGATATTTTTCTCTTTGTTGAACTGTCACTTATTTTTCCAAAAATATCCTGTTGTCTTCCTGGAGAGAGGATAAGAACCTTCCTCTTAAGTCTCTGTTTTCTTTTTTTTCGTAAGGAGAGATGTTAAATTATTTTTAAGAAGAAAATTAGCTACAAGATTTAGTCTTTCATGCCATTCTCCAGAACTATACTCTCCGTGTTGGTAGCCCTAGACACTTGACATTTTTAATTTTATTTACATGCTGGTTTCCAAGGACTTGATATGAAGAAAAGAATGTAATATATCTCACTGATACTTTTGTTTTAGATAATACTGAGTTAAGTAAAATATTTAAAGTAAGTTCGCCTGTTTTTTTATAATGTGGCTACTAAATTTTAATGGCACGCATGGGTCACACATTTCTACTGTTCAGTACTGTTCTAGAAAATGAAATGAATATACAAGTCTCTCATTAACCTCATAGGTATGATTTGTTTTTTCATTCCTCAGCCCCCTTTTTAACTGTGTTACCTTAATAGCTACTGTTTGATGTCTAATTTTGTCACTTGGGGGCTTGAGTAAGGAGCCCAGAATATAGGTGCTGTGTACAGGGGCATTGCCAGAAATTTGGAAGTTTGTTGACAGTCTCATTGGCACAGTTTCAGGTGTGTGGGACTGGCCTGTACCCATGCATTTGCAGGGTATTTGGTGTCCCTGGCTGGTGCCCACCAGATTCCAGTATTGCCTCTTAGTCTGTAAATAACCGAATTCATCTCTCTTTAACACGCACAAATGTGGCCTCTCAAGGCTAGGTAACAACCCACTATGCAGAACTTGCGCTAGGAGAATTGCTAGATCTTAGGATATAAGAGTGTTACTGGGCATTGTTAAATGGTTCTCTGTTGACATTTCTTGCAAACACTTGATTTTTGCTAGTCTTGGGTATGAAATGGTATTTTGTCAATTTGTATTTCCCTAGCTTATAGAGGTTAAACTTCTGCATGAACTTATTTCCTTAGTGTTTTTTCTAATACAAAATACATATTCATATTCTTAAAAGTTTTGCTTCTCAATTTTTCTCTCCTCTTTTAGGAGGTAGATGACTTCTTTGAGCAAGAGAAGAATTTCCTCATTAACTATTATAATAGGATCAAGGATTCATGTGCAAAAGCTGACAAAATGACCAGATCTCATAAAAGTAAATACCATTCACCCACTAGCCACCTAGCTTTGCTAATGTGCCAGCTCTGTTCATATAAATAAAGGGCTGTCCTTGTTTCTGCAGGTGTTGCAGATGACTATATCCACACTGCAGCCTGCCTACATAACCTGGCTTTAGAAGAGCCCACCGTTATCAAAAAGTAAGCTTTTGGTGGGGGGGCTTTCCCCCTAATTTTCTAATCTAAAACTACCAAGTGGTATAATTAAAAGTATGAGTAATGACTATAGTTTTAGTTCTGCTCTTGAGTACAAGCTCATCAAAGGTAGATAGTCTAGCAACTCAAATCTAACACACACTCTGAACACAGACACTTTGTAGAGAACTCAGAGGGCACTTGTGTACCAAAACATATGAGTGTTTTGTCAAAGCCTTTATTTCTGTCAAGCCTTTATTACATGTGTCCATTTCTTTTTGATTATTTGAAATTTGCTTTGTGTGTTCAGTGGCACATGGTGCTTGCCACTTTACCTGGCAATACCTTGGACTGACTTGAAGAGATTTGATGAAAGTGGTCATAAGTATAATATAATGACCCCAGTCTAATCCTGAACTTTTTTAAGAATTACATCCTGTTTCTCTATCCTGGCCATTTTTGGAGTGAGACATCGTATTCTTTAATACCTAGGCTTGGTATAACAGGTGGCAGTATTTCTGATTTGAGAGTGGAAGTCAGCTAATGGCGGAACCAAGATGAGATAGTCTTTACTTAATGGCTTTGAGAAACGTGGTGGTTCATTAGAACCTGACCTTGCTTAACAGTTTTGGCATTGGATAAGAATTGGGGTCATGCCCTGGCCAGTGTTGCTCAGTTGGTTGGAGCATCGTCCTATACGCCTATAGCAGGTTCGATTGTCAATCAGGGTACATAGCCAGGTTGTGGGTTTAATCCCTGGTTGGGCCGTGTGTGGGAGACATCTGATTGATGATTCTCTCTCTCCCTTTCTCTAAATATCAGTAAAAAATTATTAAAAATTAAAAAAGAAAATTGGATACAGATTCTGCATGGCAGGATGGCTGAAGGGGTAGGCTACCAAGAGAGGTTGATACCCATGACTGGCACTATAAATGTGCTCAATTTTATAATCATCTTCTCTACTAGATTGGGTGAACTGTGATGAAAGCACTACTTTGATATGTTAATTCTAAAGCACCAAAGACTAGGACTCCCGAATTTACCCATTCATGTCTTAGAGTACTGATAAGATCATATGTCATACATGATTTGAGACCTTAAACTAAAATCATGTATATATTTCAGGTACTTATTGAAGGTTGCTGAGCTATTTGAAAAACTTAGGGTAAGGATTTTTATGTTGGTCTTCATTATATATTTTATAATCTATAGATTTCTGCTTTGATGATGGTGACCTTTATTTTAATAGAAAGTAGAGGGTCGAGTCTCCTCAGATGAGGATTTAAAGCTGACAGAGCTCCTTCGATACTACATGCTCAACATAGAGGCTGCTAAGGTAAGTCCTTTAAGTCTGCCTTGCTATGACCTAGAAGAGGTCTGATGTTAGAAATGTGTTCTTTTTGTTCAAAATGAAGGAAGATAGGAATTTTATCAGGATAGTTTGTGTACTTGATATGGACCTAAATAGAGATGTAAACTGAGGTGAGCTTGAGTTACCAGTAATTGAGTTTATTGAGGAATAGCAAAGGAATGGCAGTTTGAAAAAAGCATACTGTAGCAAGCTACACGTGAGTCTGATGTGGGTTTGGGGTGGGTTGTATTTATGGGCAAGGAGGGTACAAAGAGTGGGAAGTCCAGCCAGAGTTCAAGTAGTGTAAGTTCAAGGGTGGATGTTCATTGGTTAGGAGATTCTTCTGTAAATGGGGCATTTACAAGAAATTGGCCTCTTAGTTCTTAAGTTCTATTCTGTGGGCACATGCATGAGGTTCTTCATGTCTTCCAGTTTCATTTTAGATTGAAATCTTTCTACAATGTTATGCCTTTTTGTGGCATTGTATCCTTAGTTTATATTGCTTGAGAGCAGTAGGGGTTTTGCTGAGTAGACAGATAATAGTTTGGGGGGTTATGAGTTATTGGGTGCAGGACATAACTGAAGACTTTCCAGAGGAGCTATTTCTGAGGCAGAAAAGGTTCTGGGATTTGTGAGTTTTTATTGAATTGCAGTTGTCACTGCAGCCTGTGAGTCACAAAGCATTACTAAGCAAGACTAAGTAGGGAGCAGAATGACCTTTTAGAATGAAACCTGCATTCTCCACTATCGACCCAGCCCTGAACAGAAATGTTTAAGTTATTTTCACGTGAAATATATTGAATCAGGCGACATAAAATTGGATAGGAAAGTGCTGTCAGGATGTAGAAATTCATTATTTTTCCCTTAGTTTAGTTAATTTGTCTTTCGGCATGTTTCCTTAGTCTTATTTGGGTTTTTTTCTTTTTTACATACACTTGACTGTCTTTATAATGGATTTAGGTGCTGATGATAAGTAAGATTTTGCATATACACAAAAGTGGACATAATTGAACCTCTTGTATCTGTCATACATACATCATAACTTTTTCATTTTAGATACTGAGGTAACTTTGCTGCAAGATTGCAAAGACTATTTCAGGTTAGATCCTCAGGGCAGACCTCCAGAGGCAGGGTTTTCCAGACGGATTGTGAGAATGTTCTAACCGCTCACTGCCCACTTGCTTTCTGTCCTCTTTTTTTTTTTTAAATTCTCACCCAATATTTTTCCATTGCTTTTCAGAGAGAGTGAAAGGTTGGTGGGGGGGGTATCTATGTGAGAGAGACACATCAATTGGTTGCCTCCTGCACTCACCCAGACCGGCACGGGATTGAACCTGCAGCCTAGGTACTTGCCCTTCACTGGGAATTGAACCTGAGGCCTTTTGTTTCTCAGCTGACACGCTAACCAGCGAGCCATACCAGTTTGGGCTCTCTGCATCATTTGACTCACCTTGCATTAACTGCACATGTTTTAACACATACAGGTTAATTTCCTGAAATTATTTTCCTAGAAAAAGAAATCTTAGGGTTTTCACTGTTGGGGTTTTTTTTCTCTTGACCCACATATTGAGTTCTGAAAAAGCTCTCAATAATGCCATAAGAGTTCCCAGCTTAATCTTGAGATATAAAAAAATAATGGGAGGGAATCAGAGGTAGATTACATTTCTGCCATCTAACATTTCAGATAGTGCATTGGTACTGTAGTACTTCGAATATTTTAACTGCCATGTTTTATCTTTTACTTCTCAGGATCTCTTATACAGACGTACCAAAGCCCTCATTGACTATGAGAATTCAAACAAAGCGTTGGATAAGGCCCGGTTAAAAAGCAAAGATGTGAAGCTGGCTGAGGCACACCAGCAGGAATGCTGCAAGAAATTTGAACAGCTTTCTGAATCTGCAAAAGAAGGTTGAGCAGGGCTGCTCTTTCTCTTGTACTTACTATTTGTAAATTGTTTCAATCTTACAGAGAGAAGTTGCGCAAATAGTGCAAAGAACACCGTACTTATACATCCTTGGGGTCACCTACCTGTCCACAGTTTGTTCTTTCTGCTTTGTCACTTGCCACACATGCTCCCATGTATGTGTGTGTGTCTGTGTTTTAACCATTTGAGTTTGAGATTAAGTTTTATGTATTATGTCTTTTTTTTTTTTTTTTTTCCCTAAAAAGTTTTTGTGCATTTCTCTTTAATTTTCAAAGAACCCTTTTCAGGCTTTTTTTTTAAACACACTTCTTTGCCTTTTTGAAGACCATAATCTCTTTACAAATAGAATGTTTCTCATTTTTGGTTTGTCTATTTCCTCATGATTAGATTCCAGTTAGGCATTTCCAACAGAACACTATGTAAATAGTATGTGCTTAGGGTATGGTATCTGAGGGCATGTTCTGTCTGTCTTCCCCTAAGCAGTTTCAAAATTTTGTGGTATTAATGTCTATGTTGGGCCTTGTCTGAACCAACCTTTACCCTGGTGGTTGCAGAAAGGTGATTTCCCCTTCCCCCAATTCTAGCATTTCCTTTCCTCTAGCATTCCCTTTTCTCTAGCATTCCCTTTCCAAATTAGCACTTGACATTATCTTTCAAGCACAAGCCTTCCCTTTTTCCTACTTTATTAGAGTCATGGGTTCCTATTTTTGAAAACAGTTTTAAAATGTACTATTTTGGTGCTCAGATTGTACAGACTTAGCGAGTGAGGGGTGCCTTTAAGTTGACATGTTCTTATGACATACCACTCATTCTTTTGAACAGTTAGATGTTCTTTGTTAACCATACATTTTCTATTCTGGGCCTGGAAACTGCCATCTCTTTCAGGAGCCTGGATTCTTATTACTTTAGGAATAGTAGTAACAAGATTGGGTTCCACAGAAGCTCTTTTTGCTCCGGGAGAGCCTCTACTTCTGGGCCCTTCTGCTGTCAGCAAGGAAATATAGGGTGTGTGCACATGCACTTTGCTTCTCTCTCCCCTCAGTAATCATGAATCCATGATGATGATTCCTGTTCATATCCACAGGATTTTTCTTGTCTTCTCCCGCTCTTTTTAATATTGCTTAGCTTTCGGGGGAGATGGTGCACCATGTAGTCTTTTCCTTTTTTTTTTTCTTAAAAAATATATTATTGATTTCTGAGAGAGAGGAAGGCAGAGGGGGGAGAAAGAGAAATATCAGTGATGAGAGAGAGTCATTGATTGACTGCCTTCTGCAAGCCCCCTACTGGGGATTGAGTCTGAAACCCGGGCATGTGCCCTGACCAGGAACCGACCCATGATCTCCTGGTTCATGGGGGGTGGGGCTCAACCACTGAGTCACATCAGCCAGGCTGTGTAGATCTTTTAAAATATATCTGTGTCTTTGATGACTAATAATCTAACATTTTCATGCACCCTGAAATCTTTTTAGACTGTGACTTTAGAAATCTTTGCGACAGACAGTCCAATCCCCTGATTTGGAAAGAAGTTAAGTGAGACTCAGCTCATCCCTCTGTGGCGGTTTGAGGGAGCAGCCCTGATGCATGCACTGGTCCGGGCAGTAGTCTTTTTATTTTTAATGTTTATTTATTTATTTATTTATTTTAAATATATCTTTATTGATTTCAGAGAGAGGAAAGGAGAGGAAGAGAGAGAGACAGAAACATCAATGATGAGAGAGTCATTGTTCGAGCCCGCAACCAGGGCATGTGCCCTGACCGGGAATCAAAACCCCGATCGCCTGGATCCCAGGTCGACGCTCAACTGCTGAGCCACGCCCGGCCGGGCTAATGTATCTTTATTGATTTCAGAGAGAGGAAGGGAGAGGGAGAGAGAGATAGAAACATCAATGATGAGAGAGTCATTGATCAGCTGCCTCCTGTGCACTTCCAACTGGGGATTGAGTCCACAATCTGGGCATGTACCCTGACCAGGAATCGAACCGGGATCTCCTGGATGCTAGGTTGATGCTCAGCCACTGAGCCACGCCCAGCAGGGCAGTAGTCTTTTCCTTAAGAGATCTCACTGCCCTATAGTTCTTAGGGGCCATGGAACATGCCAAACCAAAAAGTAAAGAATGTGTCTTTCAGAACAAATGTAATTATAGCGAGTCTGTACTTGATTCACCCTCAAAACACCTTCCCTTACCCCCAAAGGCTCAGGTTCCCTTGAGAAATCCGTCTCATTTTAAGACTGTTTTCCCAAAACTCTTTTTCCTTCCCTGTGGTTTCAAAATCTTAGGCATATTTGGAAATGTCCTGTCTGTAATAGCTGTCTGTGAACAATACAGTTCTCCTTTGTCTTGGCTCATACCTATTCAGGACTGTAATGCCTTAACTGAGGAGCAGAGCTTCTCTGTACAAAAACTCTGCAAATGGCAAGTGGATACGCTCATGTGGCTGTCTTTTAGATTCTTTCAAAGGAGCCTCCTTGCTGCCCTATTAAAATAAATTCTTGCACCCCCCCTCTCCTTTTTAGCAGCTTATTTAAATTTATAAGGAACACTTAAAACTATATATAGGCCAGAGTTTAGTGGCTCTGAGAGTTACAGAGAGGGGATTAACGAAAAACCAGTTGACAGTTCAGAGATTAATGGATCTTAACCTGTTTGTCTTTGGTCCCAGTTCTTTATAAGATTTGTGGCTGAACTGATTCTAGTCAGTTGAATGAGCGTAGTAAGACAATGGTGTGGGGGAGACAGAAGGGTTAGTGTAGAGTCGTGGTCTTGTGTGCAGGCCTTAGAGGAAGGACGTGAACTGATCTTGACATCTGGGAAGACCCACTTAGCCTAGTATATTCAAGGTATGGCCATTAACTCATCACTATAAAAATTGTGTGTTTTTACTTTTTAATGTGGCTGCTTGCATTATATTTCTGTTGGACGTGCTGTATAGACATGGTACAGGAGGATAAGTTTATTCCTAAGTACCCAACAGCACCAGCTTGAGCTAGGGAGGATTTTCAGAGTTTAAAAAAATATCCTTTAACCCTTTGTGGTCGTTTGTCTGCTCTCAGCCACCAAAGCTTTTTTACTGTTCCGGTCGTATGTCTGCTCTTAGCCACCACAGCAAGGAACCGTACGAATCTTAACTCCATTCATGTATCAGTTCATAATTTCTCTTGTTTATCCTTCATAATCTTGCATGTTATGTATCACTGCTCTTTCAATGGAAATTAATTCCGACCAGTATGACACCCATGTCCAAATTTAATACGACCGCAAAGGGTTAAAAAGCTATTGATTCAAGTATGTGTCACTTACTACCTCCCCAACCCTCTATCTACAAACTGGTTAAAGGCAAGGCTGCTCATCTTAGAGATTCCCCAAGTCAGTAGCCCTTCTCTGAATTTTGATGCTCAGTGATTGGGTGGTGGTTCTTATTTAAAGGCAATGGCAAGCATATCATTACAGTGTCCATAAAATGGGGTGGGTACCAATTGCAGAGAGAATCAGAATGTGAGAAAATATGGTAGTGCTTCAAAGCTTTGGAGATGATTTATTTGGAAGAATAGTATTTGGAAGTTACATGAAAATTGTTTGACTTTTCTTTGGTAAACTTTCTCTTTTGTAGAACTAAGCAATTTCAAACGAAAGAGAGTGGCAGCATTTAGAAAGAATTTAATTGAAATGTCTGAACTGGAAATAAAGCATGCTAGGGTAAGTATTCAGATTAAGCCAACAACTTTTTTAGGGTTGTTTTTTTTAAAGTTATTTTCCAATTCATTATCCCAATGTTATTAGGCAGATGGAATTTGCTTTGTGGTTTTAATCCTGTGTAGTGTAGGTGGGGTACACTTGTTAAAGTGTGTCTATTGTACTGCAAAACAAAAATTCATAACGTCTTGCTGAAACACTGCTTTTGAGAAGATCATTCTTAGTTGTGGCTATCCTATCTCCTCAAAGTCCTGTGGACCATATTTTGAAGAACCTGTTCTAACAATTTGTAAATGGTATGATAGATGTGTTCACAGTTCTTGATTATCTGGAGTTTTCATGGGAAATTAAAAAAAAAAAAATGTCTTTATTGATTTCATGGGAAGAGAGAACTATCAGTGATGAGAGAGTCATTGATCAGCTGCCTCCTGCATGTCCCCCATTGGGAGGTCGAGCCCAAAACTCAGGCATGTGCCCTGTCTGGGAATCGAATCTCGATCTCCTGGATCATAGGTCGATGCTCATCTGTTGAGCCATGCCAGCTGGGCAAGAAAACAAGTTTTTAAAATAAATTGTCTTCTAGTTTTGCTAAATGTCTTCTGATATTCCTTTTTGGTTTAGAAAGGAAGAAAAACTTCCAAATATATATATATTGGTGTCTAGCTTAATTTTGCACAGAAAAGTTGGTTTTCAGTGGTAGGTGCACATTAGAATTTACTAGGGACTTTTTAAGACTTTTTGCTGCCCAGACCCATTCACTCAGAACCTCTCAGTGTGGTTTTTTTGGGTGGTTCCTAGGTCAGCCCTTAGTCAGGGAATTGGAGGAGGGAACTGTGTCACTGGCCATCAGCATTGCTTAAAGCAAGAAGACTTAGAATATTTGTGTGTTTTAAATTCCTTTATTGTGACTACAACATAAATGGGTTTATTCACTTGTCTGTTGGTCCTTTTAAATTAGAGTTTAAAGTATGATTTATACATAAATTATATCCATAATGTTCTGGGTGATGTAAGTTTTCTGAATTCCTTTAAAGTGAGAACTATGAGGCAATTGGTGTGAAGTCTTATACAAACATCATTTGTTTTCATTTAAAACCACCCATAACTAATTTCTAGCAACTTTTTATCCAGTCTTCTCAAGGCCTTTATCCTCAAAGAACAACTTATTTATGTAGTAGTTAGGTTAATTCATATAAGCAGAATTGACATGACTGCCTTTGGTAGCCAACCTGGGGTGGGGAGGGTGGAGGTCCTGGAGCTGCAACCACTAGCTTTTTAGCTCCGAGCAGTCCCAGATCCTCTGAGGGAGAGGAGGTTTGTAGGTTGTGATTTTATTTTTATGTTTTTAATTTTAGAGGAAGGGACAGAGAGAGGAAAAAAATATCCATGTGAGAGAAAAATACCCGTTGCCTCCTGCATGCGCTCCAACTGGGACTTTAACCCCCCACCTTTTGGTGCGAGGGACTACGCTCCAACCAGCTGAGCCACTCCAGCCAGGGCTGATTGTGTTGTGATTTAATGAAGAAAAGCACCAACCCAGTTTGGCTGGTTTTGTATCTTGTGAAGAGCTAGGGTGGTGGGTTTGAGTTTAATTCTAACAGATAATAGAAAGTCTTAGGCTCCAGTGAGTCACTGGTCTACCTTCACTTGTTTTTCTTCCAGAACAATGTCTCCCTCTTGCAGAGCTGCATTGACTTGTTCAAGAACAACTGATCTGCCTTTTCTCTGAACGAAGGATATGAATGTGAAAGCCAGCGTCACTTGCACTTAAATCATTACAACAGAAGATTTATTACCTTTGACTTTAGTTTAAAATTATGTTAATAAATATTTTGATTTCTAAAAATCTTAACACTTAACCATGTTGGTTTAAAAATATTTCTACTACATGCTCCTTGGACATAACTAATCTCCTTAAGCATTTACTAATTCAGAGTGTGCAGAATCTAAAACTGGGTTCTCTGTAATTTTCTTTAGTTATTAAGAAAGGGTACAGGAAATATGTGCCTTCTGGAAGCAAGCATAAGCAATTGCCTGGCACATGTAGTCTCACTGTTTCATGTGCCCGTGTCCCTACAAACCAGATATATTAGGGTAGGTGCCAATTACAACCAATAATTCAGCTGCTGTTACAGGTAACAAACATTCCATTCCTTAATGAGGTAACTTTCCCCCTTCTTACTGAGTTTTTAGTCATCTTTAGTGTTTGTACTATAACAAGAGCAAGAACACCTCATTTATCTTTCTATACCCTTTGCAGCACCATTTTTGTAGTTGGGATATAAATATTCGAGAGAGAAGTATCTTAAGGGTATAAAAATGAATTTGGTTTATTTTAGAAAATAGCCGGGTCTACATTAAGAAAGATGTGAATGCCCTCCCTAATTGGGTGGGTGGGGGGTGTGTGTGTGTTTGTGTTTGGACTTTTTGTAAAGTGTGTAATAAAATAATAAACTGTGATGTCATATGGAGTGTTTTTGTGGAAAATAAGCCCAAGATTGCAGTTGCAGCTAAGCCTTGGCAGTGGTGAAGGGCTTCACTGTCTGCCCAGTCCTCCTGGCCTCTGTTCTAATCTTAATGTTAACATTTTTGAAGTGTTTCAGAAGGTCCTCAGATCTGGGTTTGTCTGCTTTTGATTTGATTCAGGTTTGTGTTTCTGGCAGGCTTTATATGATGCTGCGTCCTCAGAAAGGATGTCTGTGTCATCATTGATGATGACCGAGCACTTAAGGTAGTGCCTTCCAGGTTTTCTCTCTGAAGTTTTACATCTTATCTTTGTAATTAGCTATTGGAAAGATACTTTGAGACGGTGTAAAAAATGTTTACCCACCACTTTTAGCCTCTACTCTTAATTAGTTGTAACTGGTTGTAGGATTGCAAAACATCGATATTTGAATACCATAGCATTTTTTTCGTACATTAAACTGCTTTGAAGTCTTACCTCCCCAGCCAGGCACAGGTAGCTGAAATTCACTGAACATAGTAGCTTCTACATTTACATATTTGGGAAGCATGGTGCTGAAAATGAGTGGGTTTAAACTGGTCTGCTTACCTGTCAACCCCCATACTGTCTATAGTAGTGGTTATGTGTGGTCAGGGTGGACAACTCGGTTGCAACTGGTCCAAGGAGCTCTGACTACTGGACCACCTTGTCTCAAGACTTGCTGGGGCTTTGCTACCCTTTGCTCTAGATCTGTTGCTGGGTATCAAGTTAGGGATGCTGTGTTGGGTCCTGGCTCTGCTTGCTGAGAGGTCTAAACGGGTACCCTCCGAGTCAGACACATCTGTATGCTGCAGCAATGATTAAGGTGCCCCTCTAAGTAAGTCTGAAGGTCATTCATGAAACTTCACGCGGTTCTGAGTGGGTGAGGGGTTTGTATTCCTTTTCCTACCCATGTCAGTCNAAGTCTGAAGGTCATTCATGAAACTTCACGTGGTTCTGAGTGGGTGAGGGGTTTGTATTCCTTTTCCTACCCATGTCAGTCAGCCCTGTATGTCCCTGCACTCAGGAACCAGCAGAGTCAGGAAGCAGGGCAGTGTGGGACTAGAAGCTGTGTTGTCCTACATGCCACTGAACCTGTGGGGATGGGGTAAGATCAAAGGAAGGCAGCTTCCCAGTGGGTTCAGGAGGAGAGCCAAGAGGCTGAGGAACTTTCCAAGAAAGCAGGTGGGCATGGGGAGAACATTTTGAAATGTTTTTTCTTAAAGCCACTAGATGAATGGGCCATTTCTGAGCAATATGTTGGGAGACTTGCAGGGGCGTCTGTCTGAAGCCTCAGTGAGAGTGTGCTGTCGATGGTTAGTGATCTTAGGAAGATTGCGTTATAGCACACAACCACAGTTCTTAGGTAATGAATGCATTTTACCTAAAGGAAGATAAGGGGATGTGGATCTGCAAGGGAAAACCACCCCTGGTCTGTAAAGCTTTGATAGAAAATAAAGGCTAGTGGTGGCAGTCCAGGCAGTGGGCCAGCTACCTCCCCAAGTGTTCACTTGTTCCACCCCTATCTTTTTGTGTCTGTTCCTTTGGCATTTGCCTTGCCTACGTTTTGAGGTTTCCGGGTTTATTTGAGGGAATGCCTAGACCCAGCTCTGTGAGTTGTGATTTTCATTGGGGAGCTATTTCCAGCAGACAAGTGCCTTGTACCTTCAGCCTTCTGCCTATAGGCGGCAGAGGCACCCAGGGTAGCTACACACACTCAGCTTGTGGGGCTCTTTAGGCGCAACTGAGGGGGTAAGCCTGGCATTCCTACAGAGTTGCTCAAATGATCATCTGTAACAGAAATGTCATGGGGTCTAAGATTGCAAGTTCTTCTGGATGGTGTCTTCCTATACGAGCAGTCCTCTCCAGAATTCACCTGCGCCTCAGATGCCTGGTGATCCAAGATAAAGTCTGTGTTGCTGAGGCTGCTCCTTCTGTTCTGGGAGTGATGTTAAACAGCTGTAGGGTGATGGGGTTCAGAGCTGGTCTGTGCCACATGCCTGAAAGGAAGGCGGGGAGGACCCTCCCCTTGCCTGGGTGGGCAGAGCAAAGATTCTTTATTGGAGGTTTGGTTTGTTGCTATTCAAGGGCATTTAGCTTTTTAAATCTTCAATTTTTGACTAAAAGCAATACATTTAAAGAACTGAAACTATAAATTTATAAACTAGAAAGAAGTCCTCTGTTTTACCACATTCCATAATCTTATTAAATGTTTCTTTTTCCTATCCAAATATGTAGTGTGTTTTACAGAAAATAATTCAGAATGCCAGAGTTGTGGGTGGTATCAATTTCTGGAGGTTTCTAGCTCTTTGTTTCTGGAATTGTCTCCATGTTCCAGAGGCCCGAGCTCCTCTTCTGCACCTGATCTTTCCACTGCCCGTCCCACTGGAAAGGGCAGGATACAGGAGGACATCTTGGTCCTCTTGGCCTGGGCCTTCCCTTCTGCAAACCTGGCCTCCTGCAAAGGCTTCATTAGTTAGACCGAGTGACTTACGTAGCCCTTTTAGGAGAATTTTAATTTTAACCGTTTTTTTTTTGTTTTTTTTTTTTAATCTTTATTTACATGCTTTACAAAACTCCTTTAAAGCTTATTTTTTTTTTAAATTGATTTTAGAGAAACACTGCTGCTTCCACTCATTTATGCATCATTGGCGGTTTCTTGTATGTGCCCTGACTGGGGATGGAGCCTGCAACCTTGGCATGTCAGGCCAACACCAACTGTGCTAACTGTCCGTGGCCGATAAAGCTTGCTAAGCTATGGCACCACTCGGGAAAAGGAGAGCCCATAATCGCAGCGCACTGCCGTTCACCTGGTGCACCTCAGCTGACGGGGAGCNATGCATCATTGGAGGTTTCTTGTATGTGCCCTGACTGGGGATGGAGCCTGCAACCTTGGCATGTCAGGCCAACACCAACTGTGCTAACTGTCCGTGGCCGATAAAGCTTGCTAAGCTATGGCACCACTCGGGAAAAGGAGAGCCCATAATCGCAGCGCACTGCCGTTCACCTGGTGCACCTCAGCTGACGGGGAGCTCGGGGTTCAGGGTGTAGGATTTCTGCTGAACCTCGCTGTGAAGGTTCTGCGGTGGTAGTCTGGCCAGCTGCTTATGTTTCAGGAACTGTTTATTACTGGCCTTATTTTTCTAACTGTCACATCGTAGATTTTTCCCGTCATTTTGGTGTAGTTTGGAGATGGAACGGAGATCATGTGTCTGTCCTTTGCCTTGTTGCCTCCACACTGCACAACAGAAGGGGACTATTCATGCTCCAAAGATAAACCTAAGACAAGGCAAGATTTGGGAACAGCAAATAAAAACAGTGCTGCCGGGGTGTTACGCTGGTACTAATGACACTTGATTTGGGCCCGATACTCAATTTTTGGCATAGTTGATGGAAGTCCCAACTTTCCGTTGCTCTGCCCTGCCAGGGTAAGAGGTTTCTGTAAAGCAGGTGAGTGCTGGAAACTTCAAGCTAGAATCAGCCTTTGAGACTCCAGTCGGCTCCAACTTTGGCACCTGGGGCCTCTGCTTCTTGGCGTTTTGGGTTTTTTAGTTTTTTTTAATGTTTTGATTTTAAAAGTTATCTATTTTTAGAGAGAGGAAGATAAGGGGAGAGAGAAACATCCATCTGCTGTAGACAGGCGACCTCTTGGTTCATGGAACAATGTTCAACCAGTCGAGCCACACTAGCCAGGTTCCTTGGAGTTGTTGATTGCATCATGAGCCCATAGTTGCGTTGGAAGGCAGGCAGCCCAGCCTGTCATGTACTGGGGGGCAGAAAAAGTGGCAGGAGGAAGAGTACAGGAAAAGGACATTCAGGGTGAGAGAAGGAGCCAGTGAGCAAATGGGTGATGCGGAGCTCCACTTCCTCCCGTGAAGCTGACCTGGGCCTGCTCTGCAACAACCAGCCTGCCCCAGAAGAAACCCCAGCTGGGCTGGGCGCTGGAGAGGGAAGCAGCCGACATTCCTGCTGTGAATCCCACAGGACTTGCAGAAAGGGTTTTTCCCAAAGTCTGGTTTGTGTCTGCAGCGCTTTTGACCCGATTCACTGTCAAAGCGCTTGTCACAGTAGGGAGGGGTAGCGGACATGGAACTGGAAAGGACTTGCCTGAGAGGAGGCCAGTGTGAAGGGGCTCTTGCAGGTCCTTGTTGGGCAAGCCAAGAGGGTGTGTGGCAGGGGGCGGGGGCTGTTGTGGCACTCCAGCATCACCAGGCCTGGCGGTCTGATTCCAGCCCAACCATGCAGATAAGCACCCACTCTCTACATTAGCCTCTTCTGTTTCATTTTAAAACCGAAGTTCGAGCATGATCCTTTTCTGCAAAAAACCCTTCCCCGGCTCCACGTTTGATTCAACGTAAAATCCCAAGTCCTTCCAACTGCGACCAGGCCCTGCCTGATTGGCTGCCCACACCTTGAGGTTATAGGTTCCCAAGGGGTCCCCAGTAGGATTTCTAATCCTTTGCAGTGAATCTGGCCTGGCCGCAGTGACACATTTGTAATCCATTGAGAGGAACAAGTGGCGGGGCTAACTTCCCAGGAGAGACCACAGAAAGCATTGTTCTCTAGGCGCTCCTTGCTCCCTCTGGTCTCTCCCCTCTCCTATCCTTTCTCGCTGATGCTGGGAGAAGAGAAGCCAAGCCTCACGTAGGAGAAGCCATGTGTCCTAGCTAACTTTCAAGTCATCCCAGCCCAGGAACCAGATGAGTGAAAAGATCTCTAGATAACGATGCCCAATAGAACTCTGGTGGAAATATTCTCTACCTGTGCTGTCTAATACAGTGGTCACTAGCCACATATTAGTGAGGATTTAGATAGAGCACAGAACACCCCATTAAATTTGAATTTGAGATAAATACTTTGTGCAATATTTGGGATATACTTGTACTAAAACATTGTTTATCTGAAATCCAAATTTACTGGGCATTGTGCATTTTTATTTGTTAACTCTAGCACCTGGAATGTGGCTAGTGCAATCAAGGAAGCGACTTTTGAATGTTTGTTTTTTTTAATCACCTGGGGATATTTTTCCATTACTTTTTTTTAGATAGAGTGGGAGGGAGGGGGAAAGAGAAACATCAATGTGAGAGAGAGACACTGACTGATTGCCTCCCAAACTCGCACCAACTTGGGCCAGGGGTTGAGCCTGCAACTGAGGTAAGTGGCCTTGGCCAGAATCGAACCCGGGAAAAGAAACCTAAATGAGATCAACTTGCTGGCTGACACCACTGAGCAATGCCGGCCAGGGCTAAATTTTAATTTTAATTCAAAATTAAATAGCCATATATAACTGGTGGACAGTGTACTCTAGAATTCCAGATCCAGTCGTTCTTGTCACACCAAGACAGTCATGTTTCCCCAGCAGAAGCCCCAGACATTGTGTAACAGACAACTATTCCCATGAAACCTTGTCCAGATTCTTGACCCACAGAATCCCTAAGTTTAATAAGATGGTTATTTTATGCACCAAATTTATGGTGGTTTATTATTCAGCATTAGGGGCTGGAATTCCCCTGACTTCCCTGACCATCTCTCCTTGGATCCCTCAGTCCCATCCTGCCTCAGGCCCTTTACTCCAGCTGCTCCCTCTGTTCGAATGTTGTGTGTTCTCTTGGCTCATTTTCTCACCTGCATCCAATCTTTGCTCATATCTCACCTTTCAGTGAGGCTTTCCCTTACCACCCTATTTAATCCCTGACCACTTTATTAAAAGAAAATGTTTTTCACAAACCTCTCCATCTTTACTCTTTATATGTATAGCTTATTTTCCACCTCTGCTTGCTTAACTGCACACTCAAGAGGGATAAGCAGGGCTCCTCAC